CAGCCCAGCCCGGCCCGGCCCGGCCGCCCCCGGCGCTCGCTGCTCCCCACACGCCTCATGGCAGCCGGGGGAGGAGCGGGTGAGGAGGAGAGCGGGCGAGTGCAGGAGCCCATGCACTGACAGCCCCTCGGAAGGGCATTGTCCCACATCGTCCTGCTTGTTCTCGCTTTAAAATGTACGTAAACCTTCCCAGCGGCAAGGGAAAGTCAGCAGCAGTGGGCTCTCAGCTGAGTGCAATGGAGACTGGTAGGAATGTCCTGCGTCCCCTGGCAGGCCGTGGCCTCTTTATCTGCTCATACAGCTAAAAATCCACACTGACCCGGCAAAGTAATGTAGTAGAGCTAAAGCCAGATTGCCAGTCTTAATTGTAGTGCTACAGCTCAGCCTTGCAAAAGTCCGTGCTATTCTGTTGTCTGTCTATTGTTTGAAAAGTGGTAATTTATATGTAATTTCATAGTCTAATTGTAGATAAAATTTGGGCAAATGTGGAACAGGATGTTTTACAGGCCTCCCAGAGTAATTATGCTGCTTTTTTTTTTTTGGCTTGGCTGTATGCCTGAGTGTGTTACAACAAACCTGCACAGTCCAGTTGTAGGAAAATCCTGCAGGTCAGATCCCCGGGCATGTGCAAGCCCTTGGCTCCACAGCTCGCCTGGGGCAAGCATGCAGTGAGTGTGCTTTTTCCCACAGAAATACAAGAGCCAGGATCTTGATGAAAGGGCATCAAGATGGCCTACTGGGATTCTCACTTGTCTCAGCAAATTGATTATTCTCACATATTTTATAAGCTTTAATGAATGAGTAAATCGCATCACAAATCTTAGGCTCCTGTCTTCCACTTTGTGATCAATCTGGACACTGTAAAAAATATTCCCACAAACCTTTGAAGGGCATATGCGCTCTTGTTTTCAGAAAGAGTTGTCTGCTTTTGGGCAGCCTTTCCTCCCTGATATTGTAGCCCAGGGTGTTACACCGGTTCTTCTTACAGCTGAGGCACAGTCCTTTGTTGAAAGTGTTGATGTCATTGCACCAGTAAGCTGTGCTTTGCTTGTCCTTGTGCAGCAGAGAGTCGATGAACAAGTGAACTGACCTCTCATGGGCACATTTCACAGTCTGAGTGATGCCTGAAAAAATGCAACAACAAAATTTTACATGCCTTTATTTCTTTTTGCCATTTCAACTGCAGAGAAGTACTGTTGCCAACTACAAATCTATGTTATTGTTCCCCCCACACACCCCTAGCCTTTGCATCATAGTTTTGCCTCAGAATTCGTACATCGTAGCAATTTGACTTCTGGGATCATTCAAAAATAGAATGGCTGAACTTCCATGATAATAAACTTAAATAATTTTCTGCTTAAACTTCTCTAGCCTGACTGTATCAGACTGTAAATATGAACCTTGATTTCATTGTTCTGGCTGATTTTGTCAATAGAAAATACAACCTGTGTTGATGTGCAGCCTTTCAGATTGTGCCACAATAATGACAGCAGTCTTATTCTGAATTGCTGAACACTCTTGGATTTTGGATGCTTAGGCAACAATACCATATTTTGTCCCTAACAGACTGACAGACTGTTATGTTGAATTGAATTTTTCTTGCAGTTACTACTTGGAAAAAAGGAGCAAAAATTTTATTGAACGCAATAAAAAATATTAAATAGGTCTGATATTATGAGAAGTATCTTTTTGTTTTTTAAGTGCCATCAAATTACGAAAATTATTTTGTGCAAATAGGATGTATTACAGTGGACTGCTTTATACATCTGTTGATAAGCTTCAAGCTGATGCTTGGTTTCATGTTTGTCACGATTTATCTTCTAACAGGTAAGGCCCAGATTTAGGCATTGTGTGATGGTAGTTGAGAAATACTTCTGCAATGCCATGTGCTGGGTGAGCAGGGCTCTTTGGGAATTTCCAGTGAAAGCTCCTGGTTGTCACTGCACATCAGGACCTCTTTCAGTATCTTTCACCTGTTTCTCTATACATTTATGTTCAAGTACATTGGAATTCAGCTTCTATAAATAAAAGCCAGCCTGGAACACTGGCAGTCAGGTCCTAGAGAGAGTGTCATCTGTGCTGCCAAAGGACATGGAATTGGGAAAAGGTGAACTGAGGAGGTGAGTAGTACAGACCTGTGTTTTATTTTATTTGAAATAATTAATGGCACATTAGACAAATCTGGCTTAATTAGAATAAATTTTCTCCTCTCCCCTACTGCTGAAACAAATACCATTAAATTATTCAGAGGTGCTTGACAGCAGGATGCTCATGGCCTCATTTTCAGGAGTGCTAGGCAGCTCAATTCCTCACTGGAGTCAATAAAACCAATGTGAACTCAAGACATGTAAAAATCAGATAACTGATCTCTAAACAAGAAAATACCCTGCATATCAGGAGTGATAATATTAACACTTAGATGCTCTTTAAGACCACAGTTACGCAGTTTCCCAGACAGACTCAGTACAGCTGCCCCCACTCTGTGCCGTCGGTTCTTACCAGCGATCCCGAATTGTGCAATGTGATTGTACACATGCAGGATGTGACAGCCCGGCTGGAAGGTGCCTCCGTTGGGATAAAAGTCAAAATGAGCCACAGGCTGCTTGATGCCGACACTTAGGCCCATGTGCTGTTTAGTGAAGGTATGAATAGCATCTACAAAGTTTGCATCATCTGGAGATAAACGGTCTGTTGGTGACATCCCTTCAAACAAGGGACCAGCAGGGTCAAGGCCTGCAATAAAGGCAAATAATCCCATTGTCACACACTGCAGAAGGACTGTTCTACTGCTGTAAGTATGTTATAAATGTCTGGAAACAGGCAGCACCTGGTACTTTACAAGGTCTTTCTTTGATGGAAACAATGAGAACGCTTGTCCCACAGAGGGTACATGGTTACACCTAAAGCAAACACAGGCACTGCTACAAACACTAACTGGGACCTGCACAAGGACACAGGGCCAGGGACAGCTGTGTTTGTCAGAGACAAACTGTGCTTGCTGCCAGTGTCACTTGAGAGACCTTTACCTAATTTTGTTCTTTCAAACTCTAGTGGTTGTGTGTTTCAGAGGCTTTGGAAGATACCAGTCCCACAGCAAAGTTGACTTTTAACCCACATTTGGGACCTGAAACTTTCTAAAGCTCCACTTTTTGCTTAAAAGCCCTATATGTCTGCTAGATTTTGTTTATAATTCTTCAGCTTAAAAAATCTTCAAGGGAGATTATTACAGTATTCAGAGAAATAATACTCTGCTTAAGGAGTCTTGCTGATTTTTGTTTTCTGGACTTTTTTGCATGGTGCTCTTCTTGGTTGGAATTGATTTAGGAAGAGAACTTTGTGCTTAGTTTTAAGCTGCATTCAGCTTTGAGGACAAGCTTCTAAATTTGATATTCTTCAGTTAGTATGGTGGAATAATATAGTTGCAAAGATATAACCAGACAAGACTAGTAACCCAGGCAACAAGTAGGGAAGTCCCCCAAAGGCATACATTTCTTTTTAGCTTTAATAACTTTTATCACTGTCAATTTTTGGAGCTTATTGTTACTAGTCTGAAAAACTTTTGCTGAAGAATGTATATGGATTTTATAGTAAAAAATATGCTCTAAGTTTTTTTACTTATCCATTTTCAAGGTGTTATAATAAGGTTTGAACAAGCAGTGCTGGGGAACTGTCCTTCAAGTCCTTCAGTGCATACACTGGTGTAATATCATGGCACATTTTGTAAAATCAGCTTCTTGGCATGCAGGCACTGCCACAAGAACCAGTTGTGTAAGAGACTGTGGTATGTGGTAATGAATCCAGGATCAGAATTGTGACTTCAAAGTAAGGCCATGTATATTTGCCTCACTCCTAAGTCTGATTAAAGTAAAATGTTTTGTCTGAAAAATTAAATGTAGCTGATGTGGGTCATATGTAAAATGCACTTCTGTTTTCATTTTGTTTGGGTTTTTTAAGCTGTCACTGTGCATTAGATGAAGTACTGTATACAGTGTATCAATAATATTATAAATATATTTTCATTACACTCATAATTAGTACAGTTACTAAACATCACAGAAGGTTCAGAATGTCACTAGTCAATCAAGTGTTTGGGTTAACTTTGTTTACTCAAAGCATCTACCAGGGGTACTCTAATGATATGCTTCTTGTAAAATCTAGTCCAGAACTCTCATTTTTGCCACAGGAGAACTGTTTTGAATTCACTATATGGGCACTGTCCCTCAGCTGAAAGCTCAAGCACAGTCAGACAATTTCCTTAATGCATTTTTAAAATTACTAGCTAACAATGAATAATATTTGAATGACTTTGGGTCAAGACAGTGGCCAAAGATCCAAGGTTAGTGGCTAGCATTTGGTTTAAGGTGTTACTGGGAATGGATAAGAGACAAATTTAAGCAACATGAAGCTTGAGGCTTTGGTTTTTGATTTCTAGTCCTCATACTTGTGTATTCGTTATGTCATAATTTGGACTGAGGTAGGAAGGATCAAAGATAGAAATGCTATGAGACCTAATTTTCAAAAATATTTTCATTAAGTTTTCTAAATCCAATTTCTAAACCAATGAGATGAAACTTCTAAACTGTGCTGAATATTGCCATTCAACAGCTAATTGTCAATATGACCCTGATATGTCAAATATCTTCATAACTTGATTCAGTTGACTGTTATTTTTCTTAAAGGTATTAAGTCTTTTACCTGTAATTCTTCCAATCTTTTTTGTACCAGTGATAAAACTTCCAGCAAATCCTGAAACATGAGCTCCTAGGCTGTACCCAATTAGATGAACATTGCTTCTGGAAAATTGAACAGATTCCTGGAAGATAGTGGCAACTTGATTTAGATGAAGAAATGTGGAAAGTAAACAGTGAAATATCTATTACAAGCTAGGAATACTGTGAATTATAACACAAGAAATTTGTATGTTGATGGTGGTTGAATGAGGTGCATGAATGGAAAACCATCAACTCAGTGGAGATTTTGTTGTTTGTTGCAGCAGTCATTTGATGCACACAGATGTTCACAGCCTTTTGTTTGCAGCATTTGGCTTTCCTATGATTATAAAATGGTTGTCTGTTCTTTAACTTCGGGGTAAAACAATCCTCTATAAAAGTGCCTTGGTTTTTTTTTGCCTGAGATACAGGCACAAGCCAAACTAAAGGGATCAAAATATTGATCAGACATGTTAAATGATACAGCAATGATATTTCTTGTACAAAGATGTGTGTCTGATTTGTAACAAATCTATTGAAGCAGAATTGCCCTTCTTTCTACCTAATCAATGCTATGTACATCTTAAGCATTTCACCTGAGCTGCAAGGCTCAAAGTTTTTCTGCCTGGTAAAGAAAAATGTGGCATATTTTGCTTGCAGGAAAGACAAACCTCGCTTTTAATTTCTTTGTGGATGCTGCCTGTCCCAGTGGAGTGGCTGTGCAGTCTCAGTACCAATCTCTTCTGAAGATGAGGTGAAATTTGGCAGACTTCTTGTGAGAGAGACAGCTTTTAGAAATCACAAGATCTGACCAATTTTCATGTCAGATGATGCTGAAGTAGATGCTATCGAGGCTGTTACTGATCATGCCCTATTAATTCTTGGAATAAGAGCACTAATATTTACTTATTGTTTATTCTTTATTAAAATGTTGTGTGGCACTGCAGATTTTGTTACATCCATTGAGAATCTTTGAAATAATTATCTGCCTGTAAGCAGACAGAAGCATAGCAGAAGGATAGTTGTGGGAGTTGGAATGAAGAGGTTTTAACTGTTAAACTCTGGAGGGGTGCTTCTGAATACGAGGAACATTTACTGGTTAGACACACTCAATGCTGTGACAATTTATTGTATATTTAAATTCTGTACATTGCAGTACAAGAGTAACTACCTACAATACTGGAGCAAGGATTATTTTATTCAAGCCTTGATTTGTTTGTTGACACTAGAGAAATCACAGAATATCTTTATTGTTGACAATGTGGTGTGTCCTCCTGGGAACTGATCAAAGACCACCATTTGATTCATTCAATAATTAAAGAGCTTCAAAAAATTACTTTAGGCTCCAGCAACTTAAACTGTATTTGATTAAGAGCTCAGGTTTCTTCTAATATCACAATGATTCTTCTAGCCCTGCCATTCCTGCTTATGCCTTTAATGGTATTTGCTACAAACCTTTCAGCTTTGCAGTACATTTCTCTTCCACCTTAGGCCTCACCATATCTAAATAATGTATTTAAAAATTCATTGTCAGGCACAGAAGTCTAATTTCATTTCAAATTAAGTAGCTTAATATTAGAGATTGATACTATAGGAGTTGCTTCGAGTTCCTGATTTGTATGAGTGATACTCACTACTGTTTGCTTTCTGCCTTTTCTTAAATTGTGCTGGAGACCAGTGATCCTCTGCAGACTTGGCTGCAGCCTTTTCAATCCAGCCATGGCCACTGCTTCCCATGTAGCAGAAGTTTTGATAAATAGTCACTGCATTAGTGTGGCTTTGTACTCACTGCTGCCTCCACGTCATCTGCTTTGTGAAGCATGACAGTCCCCTTGAAAGGTCTCCCTTTACATTCCAGATCCCTGAGCCATTATTTTATCCTAATCTTTGGGAAACTACAGCAATAAACAGACACAGTGTGGGGATTGAATTCTGCATTAAAAGTAGAAGATGAGCACAGATAACATAAACTCATTTTCCTGTACTAATGTACATCTTGCAAATGATGATGTCTGCCTGTTTTCTATGTGTGGAACAGTGTCAGCTGCCTACACACATGCTAATGGAAAAGTCAAAGTAGCAGGAAACTATATCACCTTTAAAGATATATAAAAATATTTTCATAAACAAGACCACTTTCTTTTTCCTCTTGCATGTTGAAAGTTTTACAAAGTCATATGAAAGTTTATGGAAGAAAACCTGCACTTGATTAAAGAAACGTGAGTGACTGAAATGAAAGCATTAGCAAACAGAGTTTTTCAGAAAGGTTGTGGAAGTGTAAGAACAAGTCAATACATATTTTCTAGAGAAACCTGTGTTGGTGTGGGAGCTCTCACCTCCAGCCACTGCAGGAACTGTGCAATCTCCTGTCCTGTGGTGCGTGTGTTCCGTACGGCAATGGGATAGTGCTGGTGAGCCAGTGTGAGCCAGTCTGCAATGATCACGTTCATTTGGTTATGCTGAGACTTCAGAGCTGCTGCCATTTTCCAAATCCAGCTTTCTAAAATCCCATCCACCTGTTATAATTGAAAAAACCCCAAACAATAAGAAAACCATTGTTACAGGAAAGCAGTCTCTGCCAAATATTTGCTGTGAAAAACAACAAAAGAAAAACCATACTATGAACAAGGAGGGATTAATGCTGATAACTAGATTTTAGGGGCTTCAGCCTTCTTCAGTGATGAGAATCTTTAGGTTTTGGTGGACCAAAAAAATTAAGAGTCAATATAATAAGGATATAATAATGTATGTTTTGTAATAAGGACACTTACAAGTGAAAATTATGTCCCCGAATACTTTAAGTCATCTGGAGATAACTGGTAGTACTGGTTAAAAAGACAGAAATGCCCAGGAAATGTCTGATTCCATTCAAGAGCAGGTATCCCTGTAAGTATAAGCTAAAAGAATTGGAGAAGGGAAGCTAGAGGATTGCAGGCCAGCAGGCATTTGTCATCTCTAGGCGTTCCATTTTGAAAGCTGCTTGTTTTGTCATTCTTTTTTGACTCCCTGCTTACAATTTTCATGCATCAAAGCATGTTTCTGATTTGATGGACTAGAATCTATTAGATTTAATTGCTAATCTAGTGGTACGTATTTCCTCAATTGATAAAATACACTTATCTCTTCTAGTGTATTAGAATTTTGGAGTCTCAGGTCTGGGTTTCCACATACACTCCTCTAAGAGCCCAACACCTCTGCAGATTTTGTTAAAGTGAATGATGAACTTCAATAGCAGCAGCTTCAGGCCTGTGGTTTGAGGAGGGTGTAGGTTTTGAAGAAATTTTTCTTTGCAAGTCTTGGCTTTTATTTATTAAGGGAGTTAAATGTATCTCTCTTATTTAAGGGAGTTACACGTGGGGTGTTCAAAGTTCCTCTCTGTATTTGCAGATGTGCAAGAAAGATCCATTGTGCCACCTTATGTGATTCCATTGGTTCTATGAGAATTCAAGGATCTGTTAAAATTACTTATTTTCTTGTCCTGCCTTTTGTTTCTTTTCCAACTGAGAAGCTGATGAAAAGTCACTCTTAGTATTGGCATGCTTTTGAGAAAGTTTTTTTTTTAATGGTGAATGGTTTTTTACAGTTTAATTGGAAGCAGTTCAGTGATAATTCATTAATGTTGAAGGCTTTGCTTTCAACTGAAGGGGCTTGTGGAGAAGTTCTTTTTAAAGGTGTATCTGTGAGAAAGATGTGGGGACACTGTGGGCACTTTTCAAGAAGTCTGTAAATATTTGGCAGTGAACATATCAGAGAAACGAAACTGTTATTCAGCTCTCCAGGGCATGGCACATTAATTCAGCTACTTGTTCAAGCTCTGCTGGCTTTAAACCAGGGCTGAATTTAATCCCTGGCATGGGAGTCCCATGTGAAGAATTGCTTGTAGACTGTTCCTTCAGAATCTGTTGGGAATATCCACTTTATATTTTTTTCTAGCCATGATAGCTATCAGTGAAATTTATAATCTTTGTATCACAACCTTACTTCTGAAGTTGCTTCTGTAGCATAATGAGAAGGAAATTATATCAAATCACATGTAATATGAATTAAAAATAAAATGTGAGTTCATACCGACCAGCCGTGGACTATCATCACCAGAGGAAGAGAGGCATTGAAACTGCATTTGTCAAGAGTCTCCAACTGATTAACAAAAATCTGGCAGCTGCCTTCAGCTGTATCTGTATAGAGTCGAAATTTGGTTTCTAAGTTTGGCTGATCTTTCTTTGTTGTAGTGTGTTCACTCTGTGGTCCCAGTGCCTCTGAAATGAAATTTATGACAACAGTCATAATAGGAAGGAATTAAAAACCTGAAGAAGTTACTAGTGCAACACATTTTGTAAAACAGTAAATGAGTAAGCTTGGAACTCTTCCTATGTATAATTGTTGCTTGTTCCAGCTGGGGCTAAGGTGTACATTTTGGGTCAAAAAAGTGATCTCTTTCAAAGTCTGAGATGGTCTAGATGTGCCTCCGAGTCCCTCTATGTGAGACCCTCTATGTGAACAGTAACAGTTACACAGGAATAGTGATGTGATTGCTATGGGCCTTTATAAATGCATAAGGATTGTAAGATCACAGTACAGGTATTATGACTTGACCATGGAGTGCATACACAGACAGGAACATTCAGAGGCTCTTAACTCTGCAGAGCATTTCTGCTAATGTGCATTTGCTAGTAATTGCTGAACAAGCATCATTACACTAAAATAACCATTTTATTCAGGGTCTCATAACTGCTTAAGAGACCTGGGTGACTGCGGTAACTGCTTAAGACTAATAGGCTACATAATAATTTTTTTTTCCTCTGAAAAGGCAAGATGAACTGTTTTCCTTTTAGTTGTAGTATTTTGGATGATTTTGTTTTTAGGTAAAATAGTTTGGTGCATTTAGGACAGCATTTTCAGAAATGTCTGTTAAGTAAGAAAGTGGAGGCAGTGTGAACTATGGTCTTACAACATCATGAACTTAGAAGGAAAAAACAAAATATAGAGCATTTGCAGAAAAAATAGAGTAAAATAAAGAATCTTACAAATAGCACCTTGTGACCTGCAAGCCTTTCTAGTGAAACTTCAGAATATCTATTTAGCTGCAAGAACTTCGTATAATAAATATTTTTTAAGCTAGAAAAAAATGGCGTTTAGTAGAAGAGAAGATATGATGAACTAGATAAGAAAGAAGTTACAGTTTCTAGTACTGGAGGGCAGACATTTAGATAGGAGGGATTTTACTAATGGAGTTCCTTGGGGACAGTTTTTTGGCTAATTTTATTTTAATATTTCCATTAAAGAAGCAGCAGGAAAGGTATAAGACTGACAAAACATGGGAGTCCCTTGCTAATACTGAGAAGACCAAACCATTAAACGTTAAGAGCTAGATGACAACTTGAAAATATAACAAGAGAAACTGGTGGAAATCTCCTACTATGAAGTGCAGGTTCATACAGTTGATAGGAATTTCTCTATAAATGGGACTCATAAATTGGAACTGACACAAAGATAATAAAACTTGACTGAAGTAATCAATAACAAAATTGACCATGAGTCACTGCTACTATTTGAGTGTGAGAAAGGAAAATGCCAAGATGCCTTTAGGTAGATGGTTTTGGTAGGAAGAGAGGATGTCATTGTTAACCACACCCAGAACAGGCTGCATAGCTCAGGCACATCTGTGAGATAGATGTGAGGATATTGTGGGCACTTTTCAAATGAAATGGTCAGGGAGGAGGCCTGTGTTTTAATTAGACCCAACAAGTAATGAAATGTTTCTGGAGGTGAAAATCAAATATTTTATTCAATGAGAAGTTAAAATTATCTGTGCTGTAACAGTACTGAAATCAGTTAAATTTTAGTTCTTATTTTTCTTGCATTAAAGTTCCTTAATACAACATTGATATCAGAAAGATTGTACACTTTTTTTTTGGTACATTGAAACTCTTATGTCTGTAGATGTTTTTAGAAAATACCTAAAATCACAGACTATTCATTTCTGTATTGTATCTGCAAATCTGTCCTGGGGTTCTGTGATGTTGTTGTCTTGATGAGATTTTGGTAGTTTACAAGGAACTTGTGATTCATTTACAGGGGAGTCTTTATCCTGCAAATACGTGTTGTGGAATGAAACTCTCACGTTTAAATATCTGCAGTAGCTTCTTGTGATGCACAATGCAAAGAACCCCAAAGTGGAAGTGTACTGGCTTTAGGTCAGACTGTGTTTTTGCCACATCAGTCCTGTTACAAACATATTTCAAGGTTTAATTTCAGTGTAATGATAAGACATGATAAAACAGTATATTTAATTTGTTTAAGTGAATGGCAGTTCTGGCAAGAAAACTCCAAAACTGACCTGCACTGGATGTGAATTGCTTTCTGTTTGTTGCTAATTATTGTTCATTCCAATGAACAGGCAGTGTTATGTTTCACAGCTGGGAAATATTATTGAAGAAATTTATTCACTCTTGTACAAGAGTTGGAATTTAAAAAGCTTCAAAGTTATAGAAGGTTTGGTTGATTAAATTCGTGGCTTCAGTGTCTCACATTTTCCTTTCAAGATGCTTTTAACTGTCACAGGACTAAGTCTGATCACTTCTCTCTTACAATGTCCACTTTAAAGAATTTCTGTTGGATTTTTTTTCTCTTGCAGAGGACTTAGTTTCTGAAGTAAGTAATATCAGGAAAGGGTGAACCTACATAGAGAACTGAAAATTAGAAAGAGCTTTAATGATGTTGATATTCTTAACATCTGGTTTATTCAGCCTTTGGTGATTAGTCTCTACACAAAAATAAGCATTGTGTTCTATTTTTAGCATGAAAAGAAAAACAAACCAAAAAAAAGTAGCTTGTGCCTGTTCCATTGTACACATCCTTTCTTTGTTTAATGCCTTGTTTTCATTTTCTTTTTGCTCTCAGTGGTTGTGCAATGCAAAGGCGCTTTGTCACTCTGTACTGTTTGTACATACTACAGAAAACAAGTCTGATAAAAAGCAGTTTTCTTTAGGTGCTGGCTGGAAAGTGCTGCAGTGCTTTAATGGCTGAACATTGTTATTCTGGTAAATCTGGGAGAGTGGATTAAAAATACAGTTTGAACTTCTTGGCCGTCAAAAGTGAAAAGTTCCTATAAGATCGGATGTGCTATTCAACAAGGAAGGGCTTCAATCTGTTAATCTGTGTAATGACTTGGAGAAGGAAATAGTGTCTGAAGAGCCTGGCTGCCACAACAGACTCTTGCAGAAAATGTCATACCAGTGACTCAGTGACATGGCCACAGGGAACTGGGGAGTTTCATAGGTCAGTTTGCAAAAACAACACAATTCAACTGCTAAAGATTTTTTTTCATGGTAATTACAGTTAAGTGTGCAGAGATCTCTGAGCCTCCGAAGAGTTTTGCTTTGGAACAATACCAGGTGAGCTGGTTGTTGACTTAATTTCCTTTTTCTCAGAAGATCCTCCTCTGACATGAATTTTTTCAGCAAAGACAATGCAGTGTGGCCACACTGATCTATGTGCTTCCATAAATGACCTTCCCACAGAGCAGTGCAGTAATCATGAGCAAGAAAAGCTCTTGTGAATTCTTGACACTCCAAAGGAGATTCAGCCCTTCACCTTTACTTTGTGTTAATGATGTTTATTAACGATTACTGTGAGGTGCAGTAAAGACCAAAGGCTGGGTTTGTAAACACCACTTCATTGCAGATTCTTGTAAAACGTTTTGGAGTTAGTTTTGGGCAGACAAACCAGAGCATTTTTAGATTTGACCTGAGATAATTATGTTTTCTTATTGAAAAGTAAAATGAAGTGAGATTTCCAGTTGAACAAAAAAAGCAGGTTAATCCAGGAGAGTGACTTGGATTGAATCACCTCAAAAAATAAGAAGGAGTTCCTAAACATGGAATTTTTGAGTCCCTTCTGAAATTTCCAAATGTGATAACACTGCTTTAAACTTGTTAATGAAAACTCTACTGGAAACTAGGCAAAGGTCTACATGCTGTCCAGGGTTTGAAACTATAACTATCCTATGCTTTTCTGGGGGAGAGATCCACAGTCTAAATCTATTTATGTATCGTGCCTGATTAGGTATAAAAGTACAGCTACAAAGTATCTGCTTCATAGCACAAAAATTGCCTAAATGTGAAGTAGAGGATGAAGTATAGCAGAACCATCTAATGTTAAAAGCAAAATTTTAGTATTTGCTAAGTCATACACTTTAAATTCATCTTACAGTATAGCGTAAAAATGTTGATAAAATTGGCATTTTCAAGTAAGGAGAGTAGCTTTTCTGCTTAAGAAAAAAAATGTTCAGCATCCTTCTTCCTGTCATGGAACTTGGGTTGAAGAGGATATTTTAGTGGCTCTCACCTAATCCTTAGACAATTGCAAAATTAATTAAGCAAATCTGAACAGAAGTTGTAATCTGGGCTATTGATATGTTAAGGATACATAAAAATCACCCAGGTCAGCATGTGAACACACGCTGCTGTTTCCAGGTTCTGGCTGCCTTGTGACCCCAGCAGCAGCTTCCCTCCATAGTCATGAGTGGACTTGTCTGAGCCCTGATAAAACTCCTGCATCTTTTGGGTGGCTTTTCCTGCTTACAGGGAAATGTTTCCAAGAGTACTTATGTAGTGTAATCACATTTCAGTGTCACCAGTATCCAAAATATTGGAGAAAGAACTGACACAACAATTCCCCAGAACCAGAGAAATCTGTTATGAAATTGAGTAAAGGCAGTGATATGTTAATGATTTTTGTTTGAGCCATGGAAAGTGGAATATATCACAGATCCCCTCATTTCCAATAGCAAGATGTTTTTTATCTCTTAAAAGAAGAGCTAGTATCTGGCAGTGTTCAAGTTTCTCATTTTGACAAATAGTTCCTGTAGAGTTTTTCTTTTTACTTGATTTTTATTGTTCCTGTCACTTTAAGGTTTTTGGGTGTCATAAACTAATGGTTGATAATTCCATCTCTTGTAGTTCTTAGGGGAGAACTCTAAAACATGTAATTTTATTTTTGGGGTGGGACAGGGAGAGGGGATCCCAAGTCTTTTTGATTGCTCCAGAGTCTTAGGCAAGATAAAACAGTCAAAACTAAGGTCTGTTGTGCTTAAATTTTTTCATATCCTCATGTAGTTCCTTTGTGTTTTCACTCTCCTTAACTTGCTCACCTTGCCAAATGAAAAGTAGGTATCACTTAGCAAAGAATGAATGGAAAAAAAGCAAGAAAGCAAGAGAAAGCTATGACAATTGGATTAAACATTAGCAGGTCTGGT